CGTTTGCGACGTACGCGCGTGTAACAACACCGTCGCAAGCATTTCGAAAAATATATCGCACGGGCCGCTGCTGCTGTTGAAAACAATTTCGTAACACGCGCGTAATAATAACGTTTTCCGATCGTAATACACTCGCATTTCGCCCGTTGCGGAAACGATCGGGACGACCGAAATCGCAACGGTTTCGCCGTCCCCGGCCGACCGCGTGTTACTATAAATATAACAATATATTAATATTATTATTATATTTGTAAACGCTGTCAAATTTATCGCGGGATGGCGTCGAAAATATCGCGTGTCGTACTCGGGGGGCTTATATTTTTATCGTCTCGAGACGTGCGCCGATGGAAAACAAACAATACGCGTATACGCGACGACGACTTTTAGACGCCTCTCTTCCCCCCCCCTTCAAAAAAAAAAAATAAAAAAACCCACCAGGCTCGTAATAAAAATAAAACGTCGAGCAGCGTGAACGCCTGCCCTGTACGTGACGGTATGTTTTTAAACATGTCAGTTCCATTTGTATGCGTAAATTCGAATTTCGATTGTTTGGGAATTTTAACGGTATACAGCGAAATACGATAGTTTCGCATATAGATACTTAGATTTTCATTTATGTATTTATTTGTCGAAATACTCGCCCGAGAGCGTAAGGTGCAGACCAATAAGAATCTGCAGACAATATTATCGTTCTACATTAGCAGGCAATATACGAGGTATACTAATGCGTTTAAAAGAAAACGAAACATGAAACACCCTAGAAAAATAAAAAAAAGTAGTTCGAGAGAAAGAATATATTGACTCGTATCGTACCGTGGGCGGAATGAAATTTTCCGAACATTCTTCAGATGGTTATTACACGTGGCTAATCCTCTGTTAATTGGAGACAAATAGACGTACCGGTGTACCAGTATTTACCAGGGCCGGGGTATCCTGTGGCGATACCGACTTTGATTTTTCAAAGGAGAATACCTACATGTCTTATGTCAATCAGATGATTTTTCTGAACACGTCGATGTATTGTATAGTAGACGTTTGAACAAACAGTTTCTGAGTTATTCCACTATAAATACTAAGGAGATAGTGGCCCTATTTATGGGGATTGGATGTCGACTGTTTCGCAGGAAACAGTGGGAGTCAGGCAATTTCTCGTTTCGGATCGTGCAGTTATCGAAAAACCGGTTCGTTATTAAATCCTTCGGTATTTAAATTTAGAATAGCTCAGAATTATTTAAATTCCGATTACATATACGTCAAAAAGAAAAAATCACCCGATTAAAAATTTGGACATTAAAAAATGTAGGTTCTCATTTGAAAAGCCGTAGATGTATAGTATTTCCACACGGAATACTGCTCAAATGATGCCATAAATCTGAATATTCGAAATATATCGCCTTTTACTGCAACACTTGAAAATTCCGAAAATCGGAATTTGAATTCACGCATAATTTAACCGTGTACAAACGGGGCGAACATGCTTAAAAATTCACCCGGTGCACATTTTAATGTTATGTTCCATAAACGAAATTTATCGGAAAACGTATAAAAGCCGTTCCGTTACATTATGTTTTTTTTTTTTTTTTTTAATTTAATCGAACTCATCCCGTATAGGTATCCGTTTCGCAGAAGTACTTGTACAATAATATTATAATAAAAAGCGCTCGGAACGATATCGATTAGGGTAATAATTTCCTTTTTCCTCCGTATATATATAATATTATAATGAGACTGATTTGCTGCGGCGCGTACGGAATTTTATCGCGGCTTAAACGTAGCGTTTCCCTACCGGGATCACCTCTCGCCCCCACAAACACACACACACACACACACGCATACGTCTCTTTCTTTTAGTTTACTCCGGAACGCTCGCGAGTGAAAACTATACTGTACATTATAACCGTCGTAAAACGGATGAAAATAAAAATACACGTGGAAAAAAAAAACCGTAAAAAAAGAAGCGCGACGTAATACATTCTTCTCGCAATAATTATTATTATTCCGAGGGTCCTCCCAAAGCTCCCCGTAATACGACCGTCAGTCCCGACCGCGCGGTATGATCCGCAAGATCCCGCAAACAACTGTTTCCCGTACGCGTATACTTCGGCTTTATAGGGTTGAACGGTATTTATTTATTTTTTTCGTTTTTTTTTTTTTTTTTCCTTTTGACGAACGGTTGAAAATATTATTTCCATTGTCCGAAACGGTCTCGGCATTATTGTTTAATCGTTAATCGTTATTCGCGTAACGCGTTTTGCCGCATATTCCGTTATTAGCGAATTCGTCGTGGCGGGACGCCGCCGGCGTTAATGGTAGGAGATTATAATGTTATTATTACAACGCGTGTCTTTTATAATATATTATTATAAATAGAATATCATTCGTTTCGAGTCCCCGTCCCCCTCGTATTTTCCCCCTCGTTCTCTCGTGACAGTGATGGAATTTCGTCGACCTCGTTATAAATACACGAAAATCGAACGGTCCCCCGAATAATTAAACGCCCGCCGTACACATGTGGCGATGCCGATGGCGATAAAAATGATAAAAAAAAGAACCTCGGAAAAAAAAAAAAAATATTTATATACGTAGGGCGAATCGTCGAGGGTCTGTTAATTTTTTGTTAGTTAGTTGGTTAAAAAAAAAAGAAAAACTAGAGGATTATTATTAACCCGTCAAAACTTATATTTCGACGTTTTTCGTATAATATGATTATAATATACTATAATGTACTCGTGTGTTTTAGAAAAATATAACGTTCGTACTATTATAATAAGTCATCATCACTTTCATGCGCGGAGGGAGGGGGAAAGGGTTCAAGGCTTAAAATTAATTATTTTTAAAATGTCTGCAAGTTCGAAATGTTACATTGTGTATATTATAATAAGTGGGAGAAAAAACCTACTTCTTTTTTTGTTTTTTTTTTTTTTGTTCTTGGTAATCCTTTAGGAAAAAAAAAAACAAAAAACATCACCCAGTTCAACTATACTTTATTTGGCTACACTACATTATACAGCAAAATATATTATATTATTATATTTTCTCTCATTTCGCTGTGTAAAATTATCAAATCAGAGATATTATCAAATAAACCGTTTGTTATTTCGATTACGTTAAGATTGTAGTACAACGTCATAATATTAAAAAAAAAAAAAAAAAAAACACAAACGGCTGTTGCGATAATTTATGTAAAAATTGATGGGTATGTTAATATTTTTTATTTGCAGCTACTACTATAAATGCAACGGTATCGTAAAGACGAAATTTTCTAAAAAAAAAAAACAAAAAAAAACGACGGTTGAGATTTCGCGTATTATTTATTTCGTCGGCCGCGAGCTCCGCAGCGGCATCCAAATCCACCTTATTAATATCATTATTAATGGGATATATTACAACCGTAGTATTTAGTCTTCATCGGCATTACCATAATATTTGTATATATTTTATTAACCGAAACGTGACTATATTTTTAAATGTTTTTTTTTTTTTTTTTTTTTTTTTTTTTTCATAATAAAAAGATTTATTTAGCTATTTACATTTTTAAGTATGATTAACAACCGCGCAGTAAGGTCTTGCGACGGTCTACGGGGACTCGGCGACGGGAAACGGGAAACGTCCATTTAAAATTCCCAGACCCGTCAGGGAGTGTTCGAAGACTCTGTGCAGTACAAGACCCCGACTTTCCGAGTTCAGTACGTCCCAACTGGGAACCTTCTTGAAATGGTCACGAATAAGTCCAATTCATGTCCCGAACACGATAAATAAAAACAAACGGACATGCTTAGGCCCCTGTATTGTAGGTGAGAAGTTGGGAAGGAAGCAAGGACATTTGCTGTACATCTGTACGCAACGATATTGTTCGTTGTCAACGAAAAACGATTCTGAGCGGAGTTTGGTTGCACATATTTTTAAAGGCGTATACTTAATTACGATTTATAATTTCTTAGAACTAACGTGAGATTGTGAAGAAAAAAAAACGACACACGACAATGAACAACAGGAATAACGTATAAATGTGCTTTTTTCAGTGCTCCGAAAATAATTCTCGTACGCGGAAAATTGTATACGATGTCAGTGAAAAAAGTTTTTTCTCTGCGTGTCCCTGCATAGTTTAAGAACTAAGGTCGATATGGCACAACAAAAAATTGGTTATTTCGTACTATGTGTCTATATATGTTCAAAACATAAATATTAATAACAAACGAAATATATCAAACGTTTATTAAATAATAGTGTGCAATATTCGTATATTCGTGCGCTCGCAGACATGGGCGAACAATTTACATAATTTTTGAGGCGGTTGATATTTAAACATATTGTGTTGCATTACTTACTACAATACTTTATTGCATCAAAGCCGCCCTCTACGCTTACGAAAAGTCTGTCTTACCTCAAACACCACGCAAAACCCAAGTGTGATTTATTTTAGACACATCTTGTACCGGCTATTATGTGCATAACATACGAGTAATTATGTAATATTCACGTGTATGTGTTTATTAAATGAGTATTTATTAACTATTTTTTTTTAAATATTTAAGAATGATAGGCAGATGAAAACTTGATTAATCACTAAATTAATTTGAGCAAACATTGATTAATTTAATTTTGATTACGAGATTTAAACTCGACAGTAAATTTTATTTGCTAATATTATAAGAAATTTTAAAGAAAAAGAAATACATTTCGATATTTCTTTACAATAACGTCAATAACATCCCGAGTACATTAAAATATATTACAGAATTTTAGAAAAAAATATCTCAAATTGTATAATGTACATATTATTATAAAGATGGTTATTTTTTTTAAAAAATTGTCTAAAATCGTTTGACAAAAAATGCCCATACTTTCATAACTGATTTTGGTTTCTTTTAATGTAAATTTAATTGTACAGACACTGCGGAAACTCTTAGTAAAAAAGACAAAAGTATCAAAATAGAAGATATGAAATAATTTTTTTTTAAAAATATTATCTCAAGTTTCGACGTATAAATACTGTCCACTCGTAATGTTTGTGTAATTTAATATTTAAGTTGATGGTGGTTTTTGTTGTATTTATAATCAGTCTATATTTCTCTGAAAATATAACAGTAATTTATGGAGGGTATTTTTTTGAAACTTTTAAATACATACTATTTAACATTTTTTCACAATTTGTTTCGAACAGAAGAGGGTGTAAATAGTTTATAATTGCACGAAATGTTTAAATAGGATGTATTTAAAAGTTTCTAAAAAAAAAAAAAAATCATAAATAATTTATTTTTCCAGGGATATAGAGGTTTATAATTTTTTATTTTTTTTTTTTTTTAAACTTGTCCTTTTATATATAAATATGTATAAGCGCTCACTATTAAAATTAGTATTAGATTTTTTCTAAAATCATTCATTGACCATTTGTTTAAAAAAAAACTTCAGTATATAGTCAATAGTATTATAATTATTTTATTTATCGTAATAATCTGGATAATGTGTAATAATTTATGTTGAATATTGCAAATATAATTTCTGTCAAAGTACACCGTAGTTTAAACCGGTATTATTAATTCAAATAGATATTCGTATGCTATAATAATTCTTTGCTAAACAAATAATCGCATTATGATCAATATTACGACCGGATTGATTTTGATTAGCCGCAAACAGAACTTAAAATAAACCATTTTGTTAAAGGTGTATTAAATTTCGAATAAATTTTATTTTGCTACAATATTGGCCATTTTATACATTTGTAATGCCGTTATTAGCTTTTTAGTAAACGCGTCGTATTTTGTAATTAAATTATTTCGATTTTGGGGTTGTGAAACTAGTGGTTGTACATTGTACAATTTATTTACAACGACAAAGTGAAATTTTTTATCCGTGTTCAAAAAAAAAAAGATATTTATTCTGAATTCTCTTATACTCGAGTACGGTGATTCACTGCTACTTTCAATATTAAACAGATCTACAGTAGAGACGAGCGATGGGTACCAGCAATTTAGAATTCGATACTCGACTCACGATACCTTTGTTTAAAAATAAAAACAAAATACAAATACAGATAAACTATTGTTTATTATTATATTATAAATAATCTGCACTAGTTGGAATTCAGATGCGTTATAACGCATACTTAATACGATATTCGAAACGATACTGTTTTTATATTTCAATCTAATTCGTTTAACTGTGACGTGACTGTCGCATTACCTGCACTTATCGTTTGAACACGATAAAATATCGGAAATCGATACAGCCGAAAATTGCCTAGATTTCGATTCTCGTTTACTTGCGGCCTTAAGTGTCGACGGTAATATCCCTAATATATAAAACGTCACTAATATCTACCGGAAATAAATCTCAACCGGGCTCAACGTGCTGTTTTTCCCACCGATTCTTTATGATTTTTAAAACGGACGATTTCGCATTAAACCGAGTCGGGGCGTGTGAAGTGCTCGCCTTATCAGTTGGACACCTTGCCGAAAACGACTATCAAAGTCATTCGCGTGACGTTCTATACCGAAAATTAAATAGGTATATCGCTTACAATATTGCATACTCGGGTACACATATTATATTTTACGGATATGCGTATACGGAATACTTAAAAAGTTAAATGGCGACGTGCCGCGTCATCTTAATCACCTTGATAATAATAATATAGTGATACGTTGTCGTATTTTCCAGACAAAATGAATCGCATATAATTAATTAAGGCGAATTTGAATACGCATCAGACGCGGGGACACCAGCCATCAGCCTATTATAAATAATTGACTTAATTTATATTTCAGCAAAATCTATACGTTGCTTTCGAGTAAAATATTCCGAATATTATGCACTAAATATAGGTAGCGCTATCCCATAATTGATAACGATACATGCCTACATACATGCATACATACATACATGCATACCTATAATGTATACACTTTTCGACAGTACCGATATCGATTTCATATCCGTCTACAAGTGGGTTAATCCGTTCCGTCATCAATTATGTCTAACAGATGGCACCGTAAACAGGAACTTTAATATTAATATATCCCACAGTAATTAGAATATTATATATGGATGATAAAGAAACGAATGGGAACGTAGCGTAAAAGATTTTTTATTCTTGAACGACAGTGAAAGTATAGATTGTACGAGTATTTCCCCCCTTCTCTTGTAAAAATATACTACGTATTTCATTTTTTTCAAAACTCAAATGTTACTATGGTAATTTAAAATAAATGACAATTGAAATATTATGATCTTAGCACAAAATATATTAATCTATTATCTAGGGTTTTAGGTGAATAGGTGTATTAATTGCAGAAGCTCTAGAAGCGTGCGTATTTACTACAGTTTATCGGTTTGGTAATTGGCCTTAGTCGCCTGCTATTTCAGAAAACAGACCTCTCTTGAGATTAGTAGATTCAATTTTTTTCAATGATAATATAATACCATTGTGTGTAGAACGACGCGTACGAAGTGGATTTACTATTATTATGTGTACTTTTTTTTTAAATTGCTTTTACCACGATTTCGATCAGAAGGCTTGCTCCAATCATTGATTACATCAACGGTGTTTTCTGCTAGGCAATTTTGTTTAGTCAGTGTATTAAGAAGAGAGAAGAAAAAATCCATTTGAAAAATGAAAACAATTTAGGCACTTACGCAACGCCGGATTTTGTAAAAAGTGTTTTTCTTTTTTAGTACTTTTAGTTTTATTGTATTTTCATTATTCGCCAAATACTCCTACTACTTACTCTATCGATAATTATTCCAACTATGTTATTTATTGACAAATTGTAATATTATTTCCAAAATTATTTTGGCTCTTTTTAGGTGGTTTATAACTATATTTTTAGCCAAGTATAAATACTCAAAAATGTGATGGAAAGGGACCATTAAGTTGCTCGTGTAACAAAAAAATTAAGCTTAATATCAAAGTCATTATTTTTTTTTTTTTTAAACAATTAGCATTTCTAATTTAAATAATGAAGAAAAACGCGAAAAATTAGAATGATGTGAACATAATTTTATGAAATTTTAAATTTGAATTTAGAAGGATATACATATCCATTCAGAATTATACTTTATTTGTAATGATTTATCGCGCCACATTCAGGATTTAAATCAATGATTAGAATACCCTATATGTGTAGGTATATATTATTTATTGTAGGGAGATGGTTGACTATCAATTATTTGTAATTGAAGTTGATTGAGACGTAAAAAAATGAACAGAAACCTCCCCCTATCTATGATACGAGTATTATTGCATTATCTTGTCATTCCCATTTTACGCATTTAACAGTGACCTACCCGTCAGCGGTTATTATTATGCAGCTTTTTTTTTTCATATATTCATGTAAGGCATAAAAAAAAAGTTAATTAAACAATCTACATAGTATTTTCGGACGATTATAATTACGAGCAATAATTTATAACACGAGTTACAGTTTTTTTTTTTTTTTTAATTATTTACGCGGGTGGATAAGAAGAGACCCCAATGGTTCACTCCACGCAGTATTTAATTTAATTACCAAAAACGTTGGCATGACAAATTATCTAATATAGGGTAGAGACACCATTGCCATTTTAAACGTCCGTTTATAAAACGTTAAGAATTTACCAGAAATAATAGGAGCTGAGACCGTGGTAGATTTGGGTGGAAATTCAAATGCCATTTATTTATGTGTAGGCATGTCGTCCCACAGTATCTTTATTATAGTCGGCGTTTTCAAATATCAAGTTTTAAAACTATCGAGTTTTATTCGGGTTACGGGTAGAAACGTAAAACGGTATTTTAAATTCTGAGCGAAGCGAGAAATGTATTTTACGTTTAATAAGTACCGAGGGTTTTAATCTCATCTGGACTTGCGTTATTTAGAACGAATCGCGAAAATCGTTGACGCTTAATAATTCGAAAATTGGAAATGTTCACCTGTTTTTAATGTTAATTTTTGGGAGTGTTATGCGAGTCAGTTTACGAAATTAGTCTAGTAATAATATTTCATTTATAATTTATATCGGTTTGATCACGAGAAGCCGGCGGCGGGTTAAAACGACGACGGCCAATGATGTAAAGTCTAAGGTTTTTTTTTTATACCGTGTTTTACCTTTGAACATTATTTGTAGTAGCTGATGCGAATATCTCCAGGGCTTGGAGTAAATGTAGTGTGGGTTGATATACACTTATTAATGATTTTCGATACGCCATTTTTTGTTGTACCTGCTACTGCGGTTCATTTTACGCATATATAAATCGATTGTAAATTAATTATCATAATAAAAAAATGAAAGTTGTTTTAAACCAATATTCGATAAAATGTCAAATATAAAAAAATAAACGATTCGAGTAAAGAATAATAAATTTTGAGCAGAGGGGGGAATTTAAAAAAAAAATTTGCAAACGTGTATTTTTATTTTTATTTATATTCATGAATAAAACACATGAAAACTGGGCTCCGCTGAGAAAACTCGTCTGGGGGCTCAGGAGTTTTGAATTAATATATTTGCTAACATATGTAACGTTCGATTATAACGAATTTAATTAATATTAAATATTACCTTGTATGGGTATCTACATAAGGTAAAGCTGATAATGAACAACAATAAAAGCTTCTTGATATAGATATAATTAATGTTTACAATTTGTTTTAATTTATTTTTATTTTAAATACAATATTTAAAAAAAAAAAACATTATTTACATACGGTTATAGCTATTTTTAGATATTTACATTTACTAACACTGACATATACAGAAGAAATAATACAAGTTAACGTGGATATGTTATGTGAGTATTGTCGTTAGGTCTACAATTTGCAACATCAGCTAGTTTTGCAAATTAATCTTAAAAATATTGATTTTTTCACTAGGTATTTCTTGCGGAAGTTTATTAAAAATAAGAGGATCTATAAATAAGTGTAATAATTGGACGATGATTTTAGGTTGACAAAATGATGTTATTTATTTTAAATCTCGTGTAATAGGTACATGTGTGATTGGTTCCTTTAATTAAGTTATTTTTGATCGTGAAAAGGAATGCTGTTTTATAAAAAAAAGTTTTTAACTAGTAGGCTATTCTATTTCGTGTATAATTTTTATTATCATTTTGCGTTATTTGTAGATGATGAAGATTCGTATTATGAGCACTAACCCAAGCGATAGTCCCATATGTGATTAACGATACTATAAGTGCCTTATAAATCATTCTTCTTTAATTTATATTCACTTTATTACTTTTCAATTGTTTGAAAGCATAAGTAAGTTTTATAATTTTGATCACTAGTGATTTTATATTATATTCCACCAATTTCATATCTCCGCACATTTCTATTCCTAAGTACTAACACTATTGTTTATTTTTAACTGTTGATTACTGGAGCGATTACTATTATTTATACTGCAGGTATTTGTATGCAGATGTTTTTTTTTTTTTTTTATATATATATATACTAGGGAGATTTGTGTTGTTTAAATATTGAGGTAAAATACATTTTTTATCTATATTTAAAAATAAGTTGTTTTCCAATAACTGACAAATAAATACGTATAACATGTATTTATTATATACAGGGCCGTGCATAGGAGGATATGAGAGGTTCCCGTGCACCGTACGCTAAGAATACACAGGCGCCATTGAAAATGTTTAAAGTTCTGTTATTAAATATTTTTACAATAAACGTACGGATGAAAGCCCAATTGATCGAATTTTTTTGTTTTTTTTTTTGCTCCTCGGTAAATTTGTCTAGCACCATGTGCCGATTTCGCTAGACACGACACTACAGCTAGGGTATATACATATGCAAAACAAATAAATAAATAGGTACATATATATATAGAAAAATAAAAAGGCCGGTAATTAACCTGAAAGTGTATGATTCTAAAATTTCACGAAATTAATATTTTTGACATATTTCGCGAATCATTTCATAAAAATTGTTCGAAATATTTTAATTTGACGAAAAAAAAAAAAAACGAAATTCGCGTACTTAACATTCGAACATTTTCTTTTGTACGTTGTAAATTTCAAAAATATTTAACAATATCTCTGTACAAATAAATTCCACGCGTCGATTTATTTCGTCGTATTTCTCTAAATGCATACAATATAACTCGAAAACATTAGGTACATCTTCTTACAGCGGTTCCTTTTACGGGTCACGTAAGTGCCAACCTAAAAACTAAATACTTATTGTTAATCTTCGCGGTAAAGAACATAAGAGGATATTTGACGAAACTCGATAGGTACTATTATATAGGGGCGAGAAAACGTGTAGAATTTATATATTTTCAGAATGTTAACCGATATGCATTGTATTGGTTCGAAAACAGCGGCTACGCGCGATAAGCATTAATAAAGTCGTATAGACCGTCAAAGTTGATACTCATAAAGATTCCTTTTTTTTTTTTTAAAAAAATCGGGTAAGTGGTTTTCGAGAGTTTTACGAATTGTTTACTTTGAATACAACTAAAGAGAGGCAGAAAATATAAAACGGGAAAGACAATTTATTTAAATTAATATATTATATGTATGTATATACTTTTTTTTAATTGTTATTAAAAGTTTCTTCTAACGATGAAAACATAAATAAAACATAAAACTTGCAAACAATTATAACGCATTATAAGAGAAAAATGTATTTTAATATTTGCATAAAAAAAAAAAAAAAAAAAAAGAGTGCGCACGGTTACAATACTAAATTAACTTTAATTCTTAGTAACCAGCTGCTGATATTCCGTACAAATCCCGAGTTGATGATTTATTTAAAAACACTGTATTATACTGCTGCGTTGTATTTGTTCTTAAATACTATTTTATAATTAAATTATTAGTTATTGTACACGTATATCTACAAATGTACAGTAACGCTTTCCATCTGACTACACTAGTGTACACTTTTTGTCAACTAAGTATCAACAGCTGCCGTCACTGTGCAAGTAGATAATGCAAATTCCGTAGTACGACGGTGTTTTTGTCTTATCTATACGAGTGTAAAAAACCGACACCGTACATTTTGACGGTGTTAGATAAATACAAATATTTTCTTATCTTAGTTTTTCTTTGTTACCTATAATATCTGATTAAGTATTCTAAATACATTTATAAATAATATCCGTATTCGAACTTAGTGTACAACAAAAAAATATATTTTTCAAGTCTGACTCGAAATTATTATGGTAAGTGAGAAACGACAAACAATTATTTGAATCATCCGCCAACGCATTTATTAAAAAAAGATCCCACGCTTCCGATATTATATTGCATCGTTATCAGATATTAAATAAATCCAATTATAGTTAAAGTAGCCATAACACAATTTGCAAGAAAATTTAAGCTTAAGCCAATTCGTTTGTTCTCAATGGGAAAAAAATGTGTTCGCACACACACACACAGCACAACCAGCTGGACCAGTGACCCATTCACCTATTAAAACATAAAAATATACCGCGAGCCTTCATATTCAAAAAACTTCCTTCATGCCTCCACTGGTTAGGCTAAATCTACCAGCTTAGAATCCTGTCAAAGCGGAACGGACATCCTAAATCTGCTGAAACACTAGACTATGATTGTACTTTAATTTGATGACAGTTATTATGTTAGCGGTGTATTACAATCAAGTCCGAGATAATATGACAATATTATGTTCAAGTTACATTTCAAACTATATGTTACTATACCAGATACATCCGTGGCATAACTGAACACTTGTGACTATAATAGTGTGGAAAAATACGTTAATAGACTTATATTTTTCATCGTTAAACCCAAATCAAGTTGTCATACTTTAGTAATAATATAGACCAGAAATTATATCGTCGTTACCTAATTTACTATAAATATAGACGAGTCTCGCAATCCAATATAATATTGGTATTATTTATATTTTTCGGTTTTTTACTAAGAACTAAATTAATCAACACAAATTTAATAATTCCTAAAACATTGTTTAAAATAATGATTTTTAATTATCCATCGTTATGTCAGTTACATAATATATTTGAATATCAGCGATCTATCTAAATAATATTGAGAAATTTCGTGTTGTTAATCAATCGTTTAACTTTGCTAAATCTCATGTATAAAAGTTATGTGCAAAATAACATCCGACGTTAGTTTTCGTTTCTAGTGAACGTTCCATTTTAATATTGTTTACGAGACAAAGCGAGTCAAAATACAAACAAATTTTAATTAAAATCCGATTTATTAATGGACCGGGCAAAATAATATTATTAAATTCGGTATCGTCTTAACGACGAAATTGAGCTCACAATAGCTAGTAGCCGAGAAAGAATTGGTCGGAGGAGATAAGAGAGTGGAATACTTTGAAAGTTGGCACAAAGCAAAAGACTATCGTGTTTCATAAAAATCATTGTCGCATGGATATTGTATAGTAATCCAAGAAAATACGTTTGCACTTGAATTTAGGTCCACTGACGTACGTATATACAGGGTAATTTTTTATCATGAACCAGCAATTATCTTAGAGAATTTTAAGTGAATTTGATTTCTGTTTTTCAATCATTATGGAATTGTTTAAGCTCTATTTTAAAACCATTTTTAGACTGAAGGAGTAGAGAAGGGTCATAGATAGGCAATTTATTACCCTTCCCTATTCCTCCGGTCTAAACTTTAAACTGTTATAATTCTTAAACGGTAAATCTGACACTAGTGTTATGCATATCAAAATGTCTATACAAATATTCTCTATTAAAACCCGTGTTCAAAAAGGGGGGTTACTGTTTTAAAATCAAAATTATGCACTTATTTAAGGAATATAAAGTAAGGATGAAAAATTAAAAATGGTTTTAAAATAAAGCTTAAACAATTCCATAATGATAGAAAAACAGAAATCAAATTCACTTAAAATCCTCTTAGATAATTGCTAGTGATAAAAAAATCATCCTGTATACGGAACAGAAGAACATCAATCATAAAGTTTGACATTTTTTTTTTCAACGTTCAAATTTAATATTGAAATAACTGATAATCATATACACGTATGCAATTTTATTTCATATATACGTAGGTGTAATATACATATATAGTTTTTGGTCTTGAGAGTAATATTATTATAATCGTCACATTATTATGTATTACCTATACATATAATTTTTCGACGTCGATATTTTAATGTTGTAGAAAATAATACTAATACTAATCAGCATGGCTTGGAACATTTAGTTAGGTACTTAAAATTTAGCACCACTAAAAAAGCGCTTTATATTTAAAATGAAAAATAGAGGTTGAAAGGTTTTTTTAAACCTTAAATGGTTATAACGGCTCTAAATAATCAAATAACATTTTATTAACACTAAAAAAAATGATTGACACAAAGTATGTTTTTGTATAATACGTTAAATCATATTTAAGTTAATGGTTAAAGAACGTTTAATAAACTTAATAAATAAAAAGATCGAAAATTAATCGATTTACAACCACTATGGGTGTACGTGTAATAAGAAATATTCATGATTTTTATGCGAACTAATATTATGTTATAATTCTATGATAGTTTTGTAAAAAAAAAAAAAATAGTTAAAAAATACAAAACTGCAGTACATAAAATTAGTCAGAAAAGCCGACTAAGAACTTAAAAATTAGGAAATTTGTATAAAATATAAACGATCGTAACACGAAACCCAATCAAACCTAGTTACTCTATCGGAACACTGACGATATTGCTGACTTTGCGGGTTTCAAACTACTAAAGACTGAGCGGTTAGTTTTTGACGTTACTATACAAACTGCTGCAGGTGATATGGAATGGGGCGCGGAATTATTACGGAAATTCGGTCTTAAAGTGAACTAATTTAACTCTAGAAATAATCTTCCCGTTGCTTTACTAGGGCCTGCAAAACTATTTTTCATATACAGTCCGGTGTGTCGCCCTCCAATAACGCGTAATCAAAATAATATAACTTTGATTTTTTCCGCGTTAAAAACGTATTGTTAATATTTTAATAACTAATGCACATGCATTTTCATTCCGTAAAATACGTACTCCTTTATTCCTGTAAAACGATTAATTAATGTAATTTTGTTTTTCGCACGTTTACTGCGCTCCTTGGCGCGTTATTTTTTTATTGATTTAACAACAATTAATATCTATTATAATTTACAAGTCCGGTATTCTATAAAATATATGATTGCGTACTCGTTATTTACGGTCGTCACGGTAATCGTTTATATTTCGTATCATCGTGGCGAAATAATAAAATAATATTTCCCGCCACGGTGTTTTATTAGCGAACTGTCCGTACCAATAATAACTGTCGACGGTCACACCCTATACACACCCACGCGTATCCCAAATCGCGGAATGCGAAAAATCGGTGCCCGTTTTCGTTTTGTCGGTTCGTGTTTAATAATATCGACGTAATATCTAATCGGTAAACTTTATCCGCTCGTTAACGTAGTTTCGGTATTTTTTTTCGTCTTTATTACTTATTATACTTATTAGTTATTAGTGTCCCTCCGCAATAGCATCCGAGGGAAGGGCGTGAATGATTTGTACCAATAACGGGCAACGTTCCAGTGAAATTCTCGAGTATAATAATAAATATTGACATTAACGAAATACGATCGCAAGATAATTACAGCTGAATTGTCCCGTAAACGGTGATTCTATGCACGTAATATTGTATTTACGATTAAAGACTAGAAAAATACGTACGGGTTGGGTTAGCGGACGTGGAAAAATAATCTCGGCGCGTGACTCGGCGTTAACAACGAAAATCGAATACAAGCCGTCGTAATAATACCCGAAATGTTAGTGTATCGATTGAGATTTCGTATAAGGAGTTTTGATTGTTGCGAAATTGTTTGAACAATGGTTTTCACGATGAATTGAAAAAATGCATACGGTGTGATCAATCTATCATAAGACACTCGTTATCTCGGAAAGTATTAACTTTTCATAGAATTTATTTTCCAGACAACTTCAGAAACAAGCTGCTCTACAATTTTATATTTGTGTTATTTTTTATCACCCTTATTTTTGGGAACGGGTAAAATCACTACCTACTTTTGATTTTCAAATAGTAACCTGTATTAAAAATTCCATAAATAGATGGAGTATTATTTAAAATAAATTAAAGTGTTCAAATTTTTGATTTCCATCAATCCATTGACGAAATATTCGACTTTTAAATTTCAGTTGGAGGAGAGTAGTAGAGTATCATTTTTGGAGGTGGTACAACGCGCGGCATGTTAATAATGCATCACCATTCTCCCCCAACGAAAACTTAAAAATGGAACATCTCGTTAACGGATTGACGAAAATCAAAAATCTCAATACCGAGATTTATTTTAACTAATACTACATCTATGGAATTTTTAATATAGGTAGCCATTTGCAAATCAAAAGTAGATAGTGATTTTACCTCCCAAAATAGAGGTGATAAAAAATAACACAAATAAAAAATTGTAGAGCAGCTTGTTTCTGAAGTTGTCTGGAAAATAAATTCTATGAAAAGTTAATACTTTCCGAGATAACGAGTGTCTTACAATAGATTGATCACCTTGTATAACCTTTTTTTCTGTTCATTAGTTTTCGAGTATTAAACAAAACAAATAATAATTAGCATCATGAACCGGCATTAAATATTAAAATGATATTTTTAAAGTGTTTTGGGAGTGGACGAATTGATGGGTTGATCCTCCCCCTCCCCCCCCCCGTTAGATTCAAAATATGCTCTTAGCATGATTTTCATTATGTATGTGTGCCTGTTCTGAATTTTCAAAATCGTCCACCCTCCTCGTTGTCATTTCACGAATCTGCTCCTTCATCGTATTACATTTGCAGTTGTATTTATATATATTTTACGGGCTAGTTGCTTAATGGAACAGTAAGTAACACAACATAAAAGTACATTCAATTACGACAATATATAGAAATAATAAAATATAGTAAAAAAAAAAAATAATAACACAACATAGTCAATAGTGGCAGACAAAATAATATTAAAAACAGGTGGCGGAAATGAACCAAAAACTAGTATAATACTGAAGAGTCTGAAACACCATATACGCTATTATTAAATAATCAAGTGGAAAATTATTACATAGCGGTCGATGTATTATGATTATAGTTTATGGGCGTATTTATTATTTTATATGTGTGTATATAAATTGTGAAATATTAATGCGAAAAGGATAAGTATAAATACAGAAATACGTGATCGAATCGTTTTGACCGGAAATTATATCCCGTCTCTGAGCCATTGGTGAATTTACGTGTTTCCTATATCGTTTTCAGCGGTAAAACACCAACTATATGTGTACAAAAAAAAAAAACAAATTTTTAGTTGAGATCTAATTAGAATTTGTCAATGTGACTTAGCCGTATTGTTCCATTTTAATCGAAAAATACTCACTTGTCGTCGAGTATTCGAGAAATGTTTGAACATTCGAATCGATTCCATCACGTTTACGTCGAATCGCGTTTGATGCCAAAAAAAAAAAATGCGTAAAATAATGATATGTACAAATGTAGTTCTGTGTACAAGCATTTGTTAAGTTTAATTTTTGGCGAAAATCGTACGAATCTCGGCGTTTCAAAACGTATTTGACCTGCCGCACCGCGTATTTTGAATATTCGACTATCCGTTGCAATTGAGTACAGAACGTGACACGAATTAACTCTACGCCTTCCGGTATTCCGGTCCTACAACGAGTAGGTTTGTTTTTTTTTTAGATTCGGACCGTACCGAGGAATTTATCGGTTTTACAATGATATTTATTTTATTTTTTTTATTCTGTGAGCAACCAACCTACCAGAAATCTCGCTTTGACGAATCGAGTGTAGCGCCATTTCTGAAAGGAAATTTTATCTAGTCGGTGATTTAAAGAGGTCATTTTTGTTTTCTTTTTACAAGCGGTTTTCATAAAAATTGAGGGAAAACCGGGACAAAATGAAAAATTTACGTACGCGTGTAAAAGAAACTTCGCTCCGAATCGTTTACTGTTAGCAATATGGTTAATCGTCGCGTACAGATATAAACTAAATTCCCCTGGAAAGCCATAAGTATTATTTAAATACCCGAGTAAATACATTAATATTTAACAAAATTACTATATAGTAGTAGAAACTACTATACATGATAGTAGTATCTATAACAACACGAATAGTCGTCGTCGGGCGACGAAAAAATATTAAAATATCAAAGTAAAAAGTTCACGGTTAAACGCGTAGGTACATAAAGTACATAATATTATACTGTAGCAAAAGCTTAAGCCCCGGGAGTCCGGTGGCCTGGGGGACCTCGCCGAACCTTTCCTTAATCCTTAATTCAGCCTTGCCTATATCCTACCTTCCCGAATTCTCGCCTACGCGAAAGCAATCCGCCCGTCTTACGGAGAATATACGTCTTTTTTTCTTTTTTTTTTACAATTTGTTTATCAAATAAATGTACGTTCGATCGAAACGAGATAGTACACATTCGGTATACCGAATACGCCTATGAAGACATCGGAGACCGGCCGAAACGTATTTAATAATTATATACGGGATGCGTTTAGGTCGTACACGTGCTCAACGTCTAACTTTGATGCGAATTAAAGTTTGCTTTGGAAACTTAATCTCGAAACCGTGACAATAGTATACAAGCATATTATAATAAGTACTGTGTGACCGCACTCACGTGTCGTTGACATTATACACAGGGCCGGAATTTGACTTTCAGTTGCTCGGGGCAAATATTTTTTTTGAAGCCCTTAGCAGAAAACAAATTAAAAATATCCAATATCTAAGTAGTTAAGGGAGAAATGAAAAAATTGCCAACTAGCACGTTATAACTATTTACCTAAAGTATGTTTATTACAAGTTTGAAATACTGCTGTTTACGTATCATAGATTTAAAAATTAATTTAAATATAGCAATGTTTTATGAGTAGAAATGAGTATAATAATCTCACAACATTTTATTTATTTTAACAACCCAAAGGAGTGATGAGTACAGTATATTACTATGTAATACATGAATACTTAATACTATTGAAATACAATCAGTTCATTACATTATTCCTTAATTCAACAAGCGTATCAAAACAAAATAAAAGTTCAATATACTGTTACCATGAACCAAAAGTCGATTCTCCGGACTATTAGCAATTAGGTCGCTTTATTTATTAAAATTTTGAAATCAAATCTTCTTACTGTTACATGAATAATTTCAAAACCAAAGTGACGGATATACTTCACAAGACGGATGCAATAACTGTTGGTGAGAAATCGGTAAGGTAGGATACAGAAGGAAAATTAATTTATACCTGTAAGCAACTACAAACCATTGATTACTAAATACGATTCTGAGCGAAGTTCAGTTTATAGTGTTAACTTTGTTAGCTTTGTTAACAATATATGTCACATTATAGTTAAATAATTAAACGGGCATTATTTTCTTTAAAAATATCTGTTTAATATAGTGCCGGTTTTTCTGTTTTCCCTGGTTTTTCATATTTGGTGAGAAAACTCTTGAGAAAATCGAAAAATAACCTCGTTTAAGTAATTTCCCAATCAGATTTTCTTTTAGAAAATGAGTTATCATTGTAAATCAAAGCAAAATTGCTAGTAGAAAAATTTTCCACAAAAAAAATAAAAAATCATAATATTTTGTAAGTTTTTCCGTTTTTCTGCGGTTTTTTTTTGGTTTTTCACATTTGATGAAAAAATTTTCTGTAAGATAAGGGTCTACATTATTTACATCGGAGTAAACTTTCTGATAGAAACAGTGTTCGCATAAAAAAAAAAAAAAAGTAAACACCTTTGTCAAATCAATTCTTCGCAATACATTCTTCGCTACACTCGGAATCTAAAAAACTGAATGTAATTACGTATACACGACTACACATAACGAAACACACGCGTGCACGCAAAAGTCTGAATTGGCTGTTAAGTGTTAATTTATTTTATTCAAAAATAAATCGTATAACCACTGCAACGTTTATACCTAAATACTAAAATATTCTGTGTTCGCTGGATGCCCCATTGCCGTTATGTGTTGCACGTGGACTCTTGACGTATTAATTTGCAGACCATATCATATAAATACAAATCAATCTTTATTTTTGTTGATGTATTTTTTTTTTTTTTTTTTTTTTCATAAATTTCCTAAGCCAATGGTATAAATGTTTTAAATTTTTCCATATAATATTCCGGTATTCGGATGCCCGGGACAAGTTCCCTAAAAACCGTCCGTCAAATACGGCCCTGAATTCATACACGTGTATAAATAATAATAATATTATAAACTCGTAAACGTTCCGTCGTTTTCGTCGTCACCGTCGTATCAACGACGATAATTTACGAAAATTTCAAAAACGACACTATCGTATGTCGTATAATAATAATAATAATAACATAATACGCGAATACGCGCGTATATTTTAATTTCCGAAATTCTTCCGCGCTCTCGAAGTTAGTAATAATATCGAAATATTTCCCGGGATAGAATATTATTATTATTAGTGTTTTCTTTGCATGAACGACTGCGACAGATTTATTATATACGAACCTGGTTTTGTATTTTTATTTTTTTTTTTTTTTATAATATCGTACGTATTTGCGAGTCGTTAGTCATATACGTCTACACAATGGTACGCACTGCACGAATATCATAATACCTACTGCACAATATTTCGAAAACATTTTTTTTGTATATGCCACCGTAAAAAGACAGAAAAAAAAAATAAATCTGTTTTCGGTACAATATTATAATATTATTTCGTATTTATTTAAAATTAAATTGTTGTGTTATAACGTACCGCCCGCCGCCGGTAATCCCGGCTGCTGCCCACTCAATTTTGTCTGTAGACGTTGCGATTTTCTATAATATGATAGCCGTATGGTTTTATCGTTGTATTCGTCTATACTTTTATTCATTTTTACCGGGTAATAACAATATAATTATATTGGATATTATACAATAAGGTGTCTCACGGTGATAATGTACCCATTGTAATGTTTTCGGAAATAATAAAGATAATCGAATTCTGTTTGTTTTTATATTGTTCAAAGGGATAAGGATTACAAATATTTATATTTCAATTAATTTTTAATTTTTGAAAAATTTGAAGCCGGCCATTTTATTGAGTTTATTCTTCTGAACATTTTGACTACGTATCAACTTTTTGTTTTCATTAAATTCGTGATTTTTAGTAATTTATTAAAGTTCAGAGAAATGAAGTGTACGGTCAATTAATCGTAATAATAAAAATCAATAAGGGAACTCGATTACAGCATGCTGCATAATTATGGATACTTTTTTTTAAACTTAAAACAATTATTAAAAAAGAGCTGATACTGGGGATGAGTGCTCCCATTGTTGTAGGTGGGTAGTGGAGAAGGTGCCATACATAAGGTTATTTCACTTATATCTGTAAGCAACGATAAACCATTTCTGACGAAAGACGATTCCGAGAACAGTTCGGTAATACATAATTTAAAGTGCCATAATTTTGTTTAACGTTACCTTCCTACGTATTTTTCCGATTATTATGAAAACTAATTCGAAAAAAACAAAATCCAAAAAAAACAAAATACAATATTAAAAACAAGATATAGTTTAACAAAAAATATCTCTAATCGTTTTTCAATAAGATCCATATTTGTGCTAGAAAACGTGGTAGGTACTTATCTAAAATAACGAAATCGTAAAAAAATCGTATTTATTTTCCCGGTTACTCGTTTTTTTTTTTTTTAAATACCGTTTTGAAAATCAAAATATAACCTATGTATTTACTAAGTAGATACAATTGACTTTTAAAAAAGGTGCTACTCTTATACATCGGAACAAGTTTACTAGAACTACTACGTGTCCACAGACTAGAAGAAGAAAAAAAAATTAAAAAAATAATAAACAGCATTGTAAAACCAATAACTTTCTCGCAACACTCGGAATCTAAAATCACGAATTTAATGAAAATAAAAATGGTAAAGCATCAACATTTTCAAAAGTAATAAATAAAAAGTTATTATTTTAAGTTTTTATCAAAGCAGAAAAAATGAATTGCAATATAAATATTTCTAGTCCTTATCCCTATGAATAATATAAAAAAATAACAGTATTTGATTATCTTTATGATTTCCGAATATATTACAGTGGATTTATCTTCGTGAAATATTCTGTAAATATCGTAAGACGACCGTAAGGTGCAATTTTATTATACAATATTAACATTAAAATGTTGTCATTCCATAATGTTCTTAAGACTTTGAAAATTGAAATTCGATCCAATTATTGGTAAACTTATAATATAAAATGTATTTATTATTTATGGTTTAGTTTTGAATTTGTCTTAATAACCGTAGACAGATGAAATCAAATTATATTAGTAGAGAAAAGACGGAAATATATCGCACGATGGACGGGCTATTGTTGTAGGTAAGAAGATGGAAAAGAGACGGGAATTTAATTTATATCTGCACGCAACGATAAGCTGTTGCTAACGAACAACGATTTAAAGCGAAGTTTTTTTCATGCGTGTACGTACATTTTCCCGTTTTCCCTACGTTTTTTCCCAACTGTTATGAAAACCGCTCGGAAAATCAAAAAAAGACCCATCTGATGTACCGAAAAGTTAAGACTTTCAGAAAAGGTGCTACACTCGATACGTCGGAGCGAAATTTCTAGTAGAGAATTTGCTCGCAATATAAAATTAAAATAACCATCATTGTAAAACCAATACATTCCTCGCTGCGCTCCGAATCGAAAATTGATCAACGTGGGTGGGAGGTTAGTCGAGTCTAGAAGGGTTTAGGGGTTTACGACCTTTTTAGACTCAACTATAGCCAGAAAAAAAAAAAAAAAACAATGGGGAAGCGAGAGGGGTTGCATTACCCAAAACGCCTCCCGGGCTACGTGACCGGACCGCGCAGGATCGTCGGCGTATTGTTCGTATATTGTTATTTACCGCGGTTACCGACGTGACGCGCAACAACGCGCGGCGTTTTAAATCCCGTGTATTTACAATCTTCGGACGTTTGAAAATAAGCCGAGAATACGAAAACAATACTACTGCCGCTGTAATATTATTATTACCATAATAATAACAATCGAAACGTCTATTGGATAACTCGCGCGTCGTGTCGTCGTCACTGCGCGAAACGTCCCGCAGTGCCAATTATGGTTTTGCATTGGCTATATACATACATATATAATTCATGATATGAATATTTATATGTAAATGTAAATATACGTTTAAAACGTTTTAACGCAGAGCTTTTCGATTAACTTTGATCGATCGTTCAATGTGCGCACGTCCGTCGACAAACGCGAGACGTATTATTAATACGCGAATGATTATTCGCGATTTTTGGCAATAATTCAACTATAATAATAATATAATATGATATCCGTAGAACTTTGTAGTTTGTCAAAGTACGTTCGGTTTTTATTCCGACGTTTATTTTTTTATTTTTTAATAAAAATAATAACATGTACTTGTTAATCTATTTAAACGAATGGAAATTTAAATTTAATAACCGCGTTTAAATACGTCAACATGATAGTACAATATTCACATTGCACCGACACGCGGTTAGGACGCAATATCCCCGTTTCGCCGGATACAATGACACAGTCAAACCGTCGTGTGTACCGTACTTTATCCATGGTATAAACGAACAAAATTATTGAATATTCGTACGGGTTTAAACCGCACATGTACAGGAACGAAATCGAACGAGGAGAGACGAATAATATTTGTAATCGAGATCTCGCGTAAAATGCAATGCGGTCCCCGAAAAGATCGAAGTGGAGAAATACGCGAACGGGGCACAAACACTGATGTCGAAGGTGATTTTTCGTAACGAGCCAGATTTAACGTAATAGTCGGAACACGAAAACGCCGAAGGTCAAGCTGCAGACCGCTATAAAGTCGGGCAGAGGGTCGACGAAGAACCGTCAAATACGACGCTTTTTTTTTACCGCGGATATCGTTTGATTGGGGGAGGGGGAGGAGTGATCTATAATGGGTGCCGTCAGCGTCGAAGGAACGCGGTCTGTGAGAAGCAATCGCTTCTCGATTTTTTTTTCGTTTAAGATTTATACGGTGGTCAATACGAAAACAACCGAATTTACAGTAATCGTTTACTATAAAATATCGGGAAATATCGGTGAACGGATACACGAGTAGCGTCCGGGTCATTTCGGGGTCGTTTTGCCACCAGGTTCAGTAATCGCGTGTGTGGATTTCATGACAGCTGACCGTGTTCTATTCTTGGCCGCTTGATTAATCCGTGAATTCGAGCGCGGACTAACATATTGTTATAATGTTATTTTATTACGCCCCCATGAATTACAAGCACTGGCATATTTTTTTTTTCCAATTATATTCGATTTAATTCGATACGATAAATACCGAGCAATAATATTATAAGGATTTCCAAATATGAATAAATTTCTTGAGACCGGTCTGATATGGGTTATTTGTTGTCTCTTCAGGTACTATGTATGCAGCATGAGACGTGCCTCTAACGTGGATGGACTTTACTGCCGTTACTCGGAGGATACAGCTGAACATACTCTCTTCGACGACTGCCCGCATTGGGAACCCTTCCGGTCGACAGTCGGGGCGTTTTCAGATGCAGGCGTATCACTCCTGACGAGGTTCGAGATCTTTTTTGCAGACATTTCACGCCGGGACCTAGATCGTTTCGAAGTGGCACCATGAACGAAACCCCAGACTGGCGGTTTCTAACCCGGTCGCGAAAAGCAAGAGCTCTCGCCTAGGTTAAGCTGCTTGTCCGGGGATGTCAATGGACGACATTTTCACATTTTCCTAAGTTTTAGGATTATATTAGCCATCTTCCAATGGGAAGGAGTCAATTGTACACACGGTAAGCTAATTCATGAGCTATTTAATAATTAACTATGGCAGCAGTGAGTGAGGTATTGTGAAACTTTACCGTAGTCGGTTATACTTGGAAAAAGAAAATTATCGAAGCGATATCCATTTATACCTATATAAATCCGGCTTGAAGATGGTGGTTTCCATTACAGCTCTCAACAACAAAACAAGCATCGCGCGTGGTGGATTTGAGTGACGACAGACGTGACAGACTGGTAAAAAACGGCACGGGGTGTTACATAATTAATTTTAGAGCGAATATCATCAATTATCGGGGCAAATTATAATAATGAACAAATTTCAAAAAGCCGACACAGGTACTTCCTACCGCAGTAACGTAAGATATATTTAATATTATTATAATAACATTTCATTAATTAAATCGGTACGCAATGATAAATCGGTGCAGACCGAATAACGATTGTGAATACAGTTTAGGTTCAACAAGGTTTCGACAGATTTAAATTGAAAATTGTATATTACTTTATTACTAGAAAACAATTTCCAATTTATTGTGTTTTTTCAACGAATTCTAACATTAAGTTTTGATAATAATAAATTGCAAAGTATATTTTAAAAATAACACCACATCTAGAAAGTGCTAGTATGTTCAGTTACGGAAAATAATCAACGATTATTATTTCAATTTATTTGAATTATTATTATTTTAATTAATAATTGTTATTTTAATTAAATATTGAATCGAATATTATTATTATTATTGACGGTATTATTTCATTGTTTTAAACAAATTATTGATTAACGATAACACAATAATTTGGATACCACGGACATGAAAATACCGAGATAGAATAACCGAAATGAAACGGTAAAACGACCGGAACAAGAAATACCTCAAGCTCGTGGGAATAACGAAAACATAATCTAGCAATGGGCCTCCTGTTCGTGCGCCCACCTGCTGCATGGGCGGATGTATTGGAAGCGGTGACGAGAGCCTGAATCGAGGTGAAATAACAATAATACAAATAAAATGTTTCTGATAGAACTTTATTTTATAAAATAATACAGGTCGAACAGCGAGTAAGAAACTCGTTATCTCGGAGCGTGTTAAGTTTTTTCGGAATTGATTTTTCTTTTTAGAAAACTCAAGAAATAAGCACCTCTAAGAATGTTACGCTTACGGAACTTCAAACAAAGATCGATGTGTCAAAATCGAGAGTGGGTACCGTATTCACTCCTCTTCGCCGCGGAAAACTAGGGTAACGGAAAATAATGGAAATTTAATATTTTACAGAGCTGCTGTCATTGTTTCTTAAATTTTTAAAAAAATTATGAAAAAAAAGCCAATACTTTCCGACACGAAGAAATCGCTTTTTTCGTTATATCGATCACCGTCTCTGTACATCCGTTTCACCTCCCGGGAATTCAATGGACCGGAGCTCTGGTCTCGTTTTTTACTAGAAAATATTTTATACGATTCAAACACCTACGGTGTAGGACAAACCCGTCACCCGTATACGGCCGTCTAAAGAACATTTTTCTATTCACATTCGATTTAATCCATATTTTATAATTATTGGAAATCATTGAAAACCGCATCATAAATACGCGGCACGTCGCCGACGCGCGGATTTAATTTCCAAGTCCTGGGAACGTTGTGGAATTAAAAATCGGCGTCGATATTTTTAAACCGCGTTTTCCCGTTCTGTGGCCGTCCCGCGCGCTGTCGGCGATATTTTAACAATTGGCGTCGCCCGTTAAACCCAAGTCGATTGTAGACGCGCACGCAAACGGTTACCCCGTACAATACCGGAACGTCGAATTGCCGTATCCGAATCGTTGCAACTGTTCGCGGATAAAACAAAAACGAGTGCCCGGCGGCCGGGGCGCTAGCTGCGCGTTCGTAGGGGTCCCCGGGGTTCGCACGCGACTTTGCGTACGCTGAACGGAACCGGTTTCACGTTCGCGCAATTGCGCGAAACCGTCAGCGGTTGTACGGTAACCGATACGGTGCCGGGAAAGCCGAAAAACACTCCGGAACCGTTTTACGTTCGCCGACGGCACGCCGTGCCGTCGACCGCGGCGCCCGTTCGGAACGTAGGAGACAACGGTTTCACATGGGCATAAGTAATCGGTTTGAAATAACGAGATTAATTAAAACGAAATTGATCGTTGTAGAAAAAAAAACAAAACCCCCCGGTCGAAACGGTAAATTTATCGAAGATTAAAACGTTTACATAGGTAACGATTTATATCATAGTTTATTCATAACGTTTAATTCTTCCAATTACTCCTCCGCTAATTTGTTCGGGAACCTAATTTACGCGACTTTGGAATTTTTAATTGATTAATTTTGTAACGCGTGTAAGTTTAATTTATTCGCGTTTAGTAGCAAGTTTTAAATATTTAAAATGAAAGCAAAAACATTTCAGTTTGTTCGTTGTAACATCGGCTTCGTGAAATTAAACAGTTTTAATTATCTTAAATTGAAAAAAAAAAAACAAAAATAAAAACATTAGTTATTTACCCATCATCAGTAACTACTAACTATTGTTATAGTGTTTAAAATATGCCGCGTAAATTAAAACGGAAAGTTAAAAGTAATTTATTCGATAGTAGAATGTTTGGGTGAAAACGTGATACGTACAGTAAGTAATAAACGATACCTAGTACAACAGGTCTTATTTAGGGCCCTTTTTGGCCGCATTTAGGAATTCGCCAACGCCGCGAGACGGCGAAAAACGTGACGAGCAAAAAAAAAAAAAAAGGGGTTATCACACGTGTATGCACTTGTCTCCTCCCGAACGTCAACAAATCTCTCAGAAATTGATAATTATTAAAATATTTCTTTTTACAATTACAAATACTATGTGTAAATAATAAAAAAATAAAACGTCACCCTATAAATTCAGTCACCCGGCGCAACCGTACCATACTGCCGCTACATAAATACGACCCTAGACAAGTCTTTGAATTTGAACTGCAAATAAAAAGAAAAATTAGTCGATACTCTTGTCGGATCATTTACAGATTGTATTTTGATTTTTCTTGTAATTTTCCTAATTACTGTGGAAATCGGGGAAAAAAATTAGGAACTATTGGGAATTTTACGGACACAATGGAATACAATGGAGTTCAGTTATCGTTTCTACATGTTTTAAAAGGCAGTAATATTTACGATTTCAAAATAATACATTTTGTACATTTTCCCGTTTTTTTCCCGATTTTTCCCATTTATTATGAAAACTTCTAAGAAAATAAAAAATAGCAACTTTAAAATACCACCCGAGTCGAATTTTTTTTTAGAAAATGCGCTTCACCTGAAAATCAGAGCGAAATTTCCGGTAGTAAAGTTGTTCACAGAAAATAAAAACTAATAATCATTGTAAAACCAATACATTCCTCACTCCGCTCAGAATCTAAAATGAGTTTCAGTACAGATACTACAATATAATTCGGTATTTCAGTCAGTAAATAGTTGAAATGTCTCGAATTCGCTGAGAATGTCTACATATTTTGTGGGTTATCAATTCTGAAGGGTTTCCTCTCAGGAGGGGAGACGGGTGAACCGCTGTAAATGGTTGTCACGGTATAATCGTCATTATCTTCGGTAATCCACGGTAATCCACCGTGTAAGTTGAATAATTGTAAGATTAGCCGTGTCCGTGTAAAAATTGACGAGCCAAAGAGGTCTTTCATATAGGCGTGGTGTTCCAAACGAGACCCCGCCCATTTAAAGAACCAATCCTTAATTACGAACGATTTTAAATTGCAACGAGTGCCGAAAATCATTCAATGATATTCGGCGTACATATTATTCTAGATTTAGGGCATATCGAAGGAATATATACGATGTGCAGATTCACATCGGCTCAACCCACAAAACTGAATTTTTACAATTGGGCTACTTTTGTCGCTTATTTTACTTATTATTATTTTTTTTTATATATACGAGTATATAAATTTGTGAAAAAATTCTCTACCAGAAATCTTGTTCCGATTTTCAAGTGTAGTACCTTTTTTGTATAAAAATTGTATCTATTCAATATTTTAAATAGGTAACTTTTTGATTGTCTATGGGTGTGTTGCATAAAGATCAGTCTGTAACTTTACTAACGAACCTGTAACCTTTTAATGTCGTATAAAAAAAAAAATTTAGTTGCGTAAAAGATTTTATTGATAACCGCAGTTACCAAATAAATTGTATCATATTTTATTTGATTGATTTACAATGATTACTTATTACATTGATAAATTCAATCGAACAATTAACAATAAAAACATATTTGAAAAAAATATTCAAGCTACAAAAGCTGAACAATTTTACTGAACGATAAGATAATTTCACATAAGGACATAATTGAAAATATTAAGGCATTTGTTTGACAAGTTGACTTAATTATAAATTAACATATGCTAGGTAAAGTAAGAACTAATATGCATTTTAGACTGATGTCAAAAAAATAAACAGACATGAGAGGAAATAACCTAGGTGTACAATAGTAATGATCCAGAAACTGGAAATAGAATAGTTTTAGAAAGACGTTATATCATATCGCCATATATTAACGAATCTGTAAAAGTTACAGACACTTGGATTCGTAAGAACAGGTCGAGTAACCAAGAAATTGCAGACCCGTTAACGTTAACGAGTGTTCAAGAAACACCCATTTTGTTTAACGGGCCAGTAGTGAGTTAAAGACTCTATAAGATAAAATAAGGCTCTGCGATTATATCAAAATTATTATTTTGTTCATTTTAACGGTATTATTATTTTCAAAACTTTTTTTTTTTTTCAATACTACAACGGTCATTGTTGCGTTATTTACAGTTCGGTAATGGGCGACAAGACTTTGTCATTT